GTTTAGACAGAGTAGTTTTCTGTTCCAATCACATTAACAAGTTTGTACAAATCATTTCCAAATCTTACATTGAAAATGAGAAAATTAATAGAAAAAGACATTCCACTGAGATTGGCGTACAAAGACTTTGTGATGAATTGGATCAAATTCTAATCATATTAGAACAACGTGTAAAAATACAATGCCTTAAAAGCATCTCCATGGGACAGTGTCACTGGAAACATTACGACCAAGGTGACATGACGCATACACTTCATTAGTACGTCTATATCCGTATATCTCGGTGTTATAAGTAGTTGCAACAAGCGAATAAATTATAGATGAAACAGTGAAGGACGTGTTCTACGATTGATTACATTTTATGGGAAAGAAATAAAAAAAAATGTTTTTTGACATTGTTAATTTTTCATTTCGGGTGTCAGAAAAGATTCAAGTTTAATATAAATGTGGCGAATAATGTACGGTATGTCGTTACAATTGGCCGAATATTAATTAGCCCTGAAAACCGCAGAGCTTATGTTGCTGTGCGTGTTTATGTCAGATACAATATGTGTTCCCATAACAACCAGATTAGTAATCTCTAGCCAGGGGAGCGCGGTCTTCTGTTTGATAGTAACCTAACATTGGTCATTTGAGACAGCTTATGTGTTGACGTGACCATTATTATAGGTCGCTTACAAAAGCTTTGTTCGCATTTACATCTTTTCAAAATAACCTCAAAAGGAATGGTATAGGATATATTCAATGATTTCCATTCACTATCGACTATGAAAAGAAAAAAGAGGGAATATGAAAGACTGCAATCTGTTATTTTTTTCTAAGCTGCGACAATATTGTTTTAAATTCGACTGACACTAAGTGTGTCAGAGACAAGAACGGAAAATATGAAATTAAAATTTGTAATTGACAATTATAATATACGGGCGTCGAATTTCTCGCGAAGTGGTACATACACCGATGCAACGATTTGAGTAGAGGATGTCTTTTTCGTTAATACGTTCGTTCGTTGATATGTCTGGTCGCTGTTTTCGTACTTGCTATAATGAAGCGTAAGCTACTGACACTCAAACAGGCACGCCATCAGCAAGTGAATTGTTATCGACAGTGTATCGAGGCACCTTAATGGTAGTTTTCATGACTGATTTGATCCATGTTTATTCGCAAAACCGAATGTAGTCGGTAGCCCGTTGCAAAGTACGCCAAAGTCCCGACATGGGGGAAATACCACAAACGTTGATCGACACAATAAAATAATGTTTGTAAAAATACTAACCTGATGACGTTACAGTACACAGCGAACATAGTAATAAATATGGAATCCGCAGCTCCATGTTGAGTCGCCCAGATGTGGCGTGTTACGACTTTAAGCCTACAATAAACACAATAAAAGCATGTATTTAAGTCAAGCTCTGAAGAAACCATATCCTGCGGACTGAGAAATGATTTGAACTTACTGCGAAGCCTTTTCGAGTCAGTGACTCATTAACAATGAAATGCAATGCGATTGATGTTGTGGTAGCAAATTTAATTTACCAGAATCCGGGATGCAAACGTAGTTTCCTATTATTACATGGTTCTCGGCGACCATTGTTATCTCGAAAAATTAGTTGGTCTAGAATGCAACCAACAATACAGCCGTGAACTTGTGAATCGCATATTAAAAATTTATCATTTGATGACGGTAACTGTTCTAAAGCACAATGCTACATTTTAGTAAACCTGTTAATGTGGTCATATTTCTGACAGAGACACAAGTCATGACAACGAGTCAATATAGCTTGCTGTTTATGAATGAAGTAATGGACCCATTATTAGTTTTCCAATCTCCCCCATTAAGAACAATACTTGAGCGGATCTACATTAATTTAATTTCATTGGTTTTTATTGTAAAATTGGACAGATTGGCATTTATCCAGCCGAACTGTCGCTAAAACGAGGAAGTGATTGGGTGCGAATCAGAAGACATTACTATGGTTAAATTGTAATTACTTTGGGACTTGCAGTCTCTAAGGTGATATTGATAACCGGGAGTAGTCAATGCATGACTAAGGTGACATGTTAACTCCACGAGCTCGAGATGAGTTGAGTCTACAGCAAACACAAACTGCGGGAATCTTCGAGATGAAAACAAAGTTATGTCGATTTATTTACTGATATTATTTTTTTGAAATAAAATGTCGTACCGCCATAGTTTTACTTAAAAGTATTGCATTAACGTACATCTTTGGATCTACTACTGTTTCCTAGATAAGCACGGTGCGATGTTCACAATAGTACAACAATATGTTCGAAACTGAACGAATATTGGTGCCGCTAGTATAGCAATTTCATGCAGAATCAGTGCGAACAAAAACGCAATCGTAGTAATGTTAGTGAATTACGTTTCGGCAACCTGTCAGTGCACATTGATTCCCTCCCAGTGAATGACATCAGTGACCCCGGGGTCACTTGTATGTATTAAATATATACGGGTATGCGAGGCATCAAGGTTCGGGAGACCACATTTTTCGAAAAACCCATCCCTGAAACCAATTTTCAAGGAAAACCAATCACTTGAAAGAAATTTACAATCAAGACCGATGCCTTATTCATAGTATAGTATATTAACTTTGACACAAAATCAGGCAGTGAATACATAATTTGTGGTAAACTGAATATAACACTATAGTTCAAAATCATAGTGAAAGTTTTCTTGGTACTGTATTAATGAATAAGTTAAGGTTTATGTGTAAACTCATACTGTTTTTTTTTTTAAACAAAAACTGTTCGTATAACGAATTTCAGATCGAACATGCCCGGCACCGTGCCTGGCTGACGTATGGCGACAGTTTTGAAATGAAAATGTGAACATTGTTGCACTATTGTAAACATCACGCAGTGCTTATCGGGGAAACAGTCTAATATTATTGCATTACACTCACTGGAATCACTATTGGTGAGTACACCCGTAGTAGTTTCGTTCTGCTCAGGTGTTGCGGTAATCGTTTATTAATGCACAACGCTAATTTCCCGAGTGTGTTCAGAAATAAGAATGATCCAAAAGTTTGGATCAATTTATTTCGGCGATGATAAGTTTTATGGATTTTCTATTTAATTTTAATAACCAAACATCTATCCTATTAACAGAACACACATAAATACTAAGTATTTTGCTTCATCAAAGCTACTATAAGACCACGATAGATTAACTAACTATTCGTCTAATAAGGCACGCCGTTAAATGCATGAAAGTCTTTCCACATCACATCTTATAATCGTAAATGCCTGCCCGCACATCGTATCACGCTTTTATATACAATTATAAGGGTATTACCTTAATATTATAATGTTTCCTGCGACAGATAAAATCGCCTAACAACCCTTGGGAGTTATACCATAGTTTAAATCGGCGTCTAATACGATCATATCTCTGTCGTCATTTTTCAACTTCCAAGACGGAACTGTATTTACGATATAACGGACGATTATTTGACCTGACATAGTAATCGGACAGATATTTGAAATAACGTGAGTTGTATGTTGGCACTTATCTTACCTCGAAAGTGGTGAAAAAACACATCAAAGAAAGAAAGAAAACGTTCTCTCCAACCAACTCACGTAGGATGTACGTTTGATTCTCAAATAGAACATGCAATCAACGACTGCTTATGTGTTATGTGTTATAACCAAGGCCCCATTTGCATGTTACTAATGTTTTATTAATGACGCCCCTAAAAGGCATTGATTAATTGTTATCTCCTACATCAAAGTACCACAACGCGGCGATAAAACTCACTATCCGTGTGGCACATCAAGCGACGCGTTGGGAGCGAGGATAAAAACAATGCACGTATAAAGCGAAATACATATCATTTATGATTGTTAAAATCTTGTGACAGAATAACATCATCTAGTCAATACATTACATTACAATACAATACCAAACGCTATATATTACATGTACAAATGCAAAACGTAGAATATACAGACCCGATCCCCGGTCGTGAAATAACTTTGACAGATATCAGGCTAAGCGATGATAGCATAAATAATGTATTTTATGTTTCCAGGAATTACATTTTACTACCGGTAACACCTGAGCGGAGTTACCAATGGTGGTTACTTGAGTATAAAGTAATAATAATAATAAAAATAATAATAATAATATGATTGTTTGCCCAATGCGCGCTATATACAATAGTGAAACAATGATTCTGATTATATAAAAAACAGTATTTGAACTCAACGGTTATTGGCGCCAGCATTACCTGCAGCTAGCATAGGAATTACATGCAGAATCAATTCAAACCAAACCCCAATCGTACAAATGCAGATGAATCAGCTGGGGAGAATAACATTTACGAAAACCTATCAGCGCAGACCTTAGTGGTTAATATCAGTGACCTGGGTGGGGGGGGGGTCACTTAATTATAAGCGGGTATGTGAAAATCACGGTTCGGACAACCAACCCGCTCAAAAACCCACCCTGAAACAAATGTACAAGAAAGCCCCACCGCTTATTACAAAGTATAGTATAGTATATTTAATTTGGTATGAAATCACGTAGTGAATACATAATTTATGTTAAACTGAGCACAATTACATATACAGAAAAAAAAAACAGAAAAATACGACCACTTTGATTCCTGGAAATGTTAAATATGACCTCTTTTGCACAACATGAATACAATTGTCATAGATCCATTGGATGCCCGAACACCGTTGGTAAAGTTTTACTATTTCAAGATCTATGAAAACGAAGGTTACAAGTCAAACGATTATATTATGTGTGGTGTAACGCATTGATGATAAATTGAAGATTTCCAGATTCACCGTAAATAAATTAAGAACCTCACGTCGAAAATTGTACAGTAAACAGTAAAACTAGAAAGGGGGAGGCTAAAGAAGTTCATTGAAAATGAACCCACCAGTGACGTCTGAATCGTTTTTAAACAAACATATTACGTGACTATTTGGGGGCTAGAACACATATGGTTTTCTTTTTTAAAACCAAAGCTTTTTATTTATACCGAACCAAACATGCTCCACCCTGTGCCTGGCTGGAATGTGAAGACAGTTTTAAAATAATAATGCAAATATTGTTACATTGCTGGTAAACATGACACTGTGCTTATAACAATCCTAATATTATTATTTTACACTCACTCACTGTAACTACCATTTGTCGAGGGAACGTTTCGCTCCACTCGGGCGTTACCAGTAGTATAACAAATTAATTGCGTTTAGGTTTAATTGCACGTTCTGAAAGAACAGTCTAATCCTACCCCGTCCTGGACATGACATCGATGCTCGGTGTTTATATTTATATTTATGGTTTCAATTAATTAGCCATGTACAGGTTCGTTAATACATACATTTAATATCATTCTTCTCAATGTGACTACCGAGGAAAGTTGCTTAAAATGACCCTCACAAAATTGTATTCTGTCAAAATATGCTTAATTGTACGTTACAAATATTATTCGCAACGCTGTGCTAAAATAACGGTCCATTCTTTGAACAAGTGGTGTTTTTTTTATTAATCCTTGTAACCCGTTTTTCTCAATACGTTTTGTGTTTAACATGTGTATTGTATACAATACTATATCCACACTGATGTTGATTAACACAATTATTTCTGTGGCCACGTCGACACATATTTCTCCATACTTTGCTTTCCCGCATAGAAAACCTTTATTCAATGACATATGTCATGGCTTATATGGCGTTAATTCAGAACTTTATAAACACAATAGTTTGCCACTTATGCACAGATGGCTGGCGATATTTCACTATTAGCAATCAGCATGTAGACACTTAATATGTATCACATACATACATACAAATAAATAAATAAAGATATTTAATACAAATCGCAAATGTGGACTCTGGGTTTCAAATAAAAACTTATTACATAACGCTCGCAAAGTCACGATCTTATATTTCGATTTACAGAAAACAGCTAAACTAATGTTTAGGCTGTATTACGAAGGGCATACTCCGACCCGTCATCTCTCACCACATTATGAGACACAACACCATCTGGTGACAGGTGACACGGTGTTGATTTACTCACCAAGTCTGACACTGTCAGCAGAGTTGCTGGTACAGAACTCATCGGTGACACGTAAATGATAAAATGATGGTTTATGGTTTATTGAAACACTTAAAAATATTGATATATGTAGGTAATAATATTGAAAAAAAATAGATGAAATAATAATGAAAAAAAAGCAATAAACAGTAAATCAATGAAAGATGGAAATGAGAATAAAACGTATTGAAGGAGAAAAGTATTTATGTTAATTTGCCAGAAGATGTTTGTCACAATTTCCGTTCGTTAGTGCCGGGTCGATTTTTAGTTTATGATTGCTCAGACGGAACCTACTTAGACATTCACGTAATTTTGCATTTTTTATTTTGATCACATAATTTTCTAAAGTAAATTCATTTTTGAAATTTTTGTACGTTCTGAGTTTATTCCTTCCGTTATTGTTATTTTGGTAAAATGGTAACATTTAGGGGAAAACCAATTCTAATTCTCAATGTGTTACCCATAAAGCAGGGATTACATGTTTTTTCGCATATGCGGCTA